CTAGCCTTGATTAATTAGATTGAGAAGCATAATCATTTTTGCAGAAAACCTGGACACTATCAAAATGAGTGTCAGAAGCGCAAAGACTGGCTTGAAAAGAAAGACAAACCTTGTGTTTATGTATGTTTTGAATCAAATTTAGCTGAAGTTCCTTATAATAATTGGTGGATTGATTCTGGTTGTACCACTCATGTTTCTAATACGATGCAGAGATTCCTTACAACCCGAACCATAAACCCAAATGAAAAGTTTGTCGTCATGGGAAATCGAGTCAAAGTTTCAGTTGAAGCCATTTGAACCTATTGATTGATTTTAAATACTGGACATCATTTAAACCTTTTTCAAATACTTTATATCCCTTCTGTTCCCGTAATTTGATTTCATTGTCTAAACTTAATTATGTTGGATACTCTTTTAAATTTGAGAATGGATGTTTCAGTTTATTTAAACACAATCATCTCATTGGTTTTAGTATTCTTTGTGATGGTCTATATAAGCATAAACTTGAAAACCTCTTCGCTGATACTAATGATTTTGCATCATAAAGTTGGTACTAAGCATTATTTTATGAATTAAAATTCTGCTTACTTGTGCCATAAACGTTTGGGTCATATATCCAAAGAAAGAATTGAAAGATTGGTAAATAATGAAAAGAATTGAAAGATTTGTAAATAATGAAAAGAATTAAAAGATTGGTAAATATTGAAATCCTTAATTATTTGGATTTTACTAATCTTAGCATCTGCGTGGATTGTATTAAGGGAAATCACACAAAACATACACTTAAGAAAGCTGCAACAAGAAAAACACAACTCCTTGAAATTATACACACTGATGTTTGTGGACCTTTTGATGTTTTATATTTTGGTGGAGAAAAATATTCTATCACCTTTATTGATGATTTTTACATGTAAAATCTTAATCATTAGATGCCTTAAAAGTGCTTATAACAGAGGTTGAGAGATAATTAGGCAGAAAAGTAAAAAATTATCAGATCTGATAAATGTGGTAAATATTATGAAAGGTACAATGAATCTAGACAATGTCCAAATCTATTTGCTAAATTCCTTTAAACTAATAGCATTTGTGCTCAATACACTATGTCAGAAACACCACAACAAAATGATGTTGCAGAAAGGCAAAACCGTACTTGAATGAAAATGGTTAGGAGTATGACGAGTAATTCTTTTTTACCCTCATCATTGTGGATGCAAGCTTTAAAGACCACTGCATATTTATTAAACAGGATTCCTAGTAAGGCAGTTCCAAAGACTCCTTTTGAACTGTGGACATGAAGGAAACCTAGTTTAAGACACCAACGTGTTTGGGTTTGCCCAGCGGAAATAAGATTTTATAATCCACATGAAAAAGAAACTGGACTCAAGAACAACCAGTGGTTTCTTCATTGGTTATCTAAAAAAATCTAAATGGTATAAATTATATTGTTATAACCACAGTACAATAATTATTGAAGCTGGAAATGCTAAATTCATTGAAAATTATGAAATTAATGGGAGTTTGGAACCACGTAAAGTGAAGATCCAAGAAATTAGAATTCAAGTTTCTTTACCCAAAATTTCATCTCAAGTTGTTATTTCTACAGTTATTGAACATTTTGACAACTTACAAGTACAATAGATATATGATCAAATACCTTACAATGAAATTGTTAACTATAAACTTACATTAAATGAATCACATGAAGTAGTAGCAAGGTCTCAACATAAAGAACGGTCTGTTATTTCTGATGATTATGTGGTTTATCCACACGAGTCTGAATTTGACTTGAAAGTCAATAAAGATCCCATTTCGTTTTAACAAGCCATATAAAGTACAATTCTTCAAAATGGTTAGATGCAATGAATGATGCGTTGAAATTGATGGATCACAACAAAGTCTGGGATGTTGTTGAATTGTTTGAAGGTTGAAAAGAGTCATGTATAAATGAGTCTTTAAGCTAAATGTGACTTGAATGACAATATTAAATGATATAAAACTAGACTTTTTGTCAATGGTTTCACTCAGAAAGATGACATTGATTATAAAAAAAATATTTTCTCCAATTTCTAAGAAAGATTGATTTAAAATTATCATGACACTAGTAGCTCATTATGATTTGGAGTTATACCAAATTTATGTGAAAACTGTCTTTCTGAATGGAATTTAGATGAAGAGGTATATATGAGTCAACCTAAAAGATTTTCAGTTGAAGGAAAGGAATACATGGTGTGTAAACTTAAGAAATCAATGTACGGACTTAAACAAGTTTCTCGACGATGATATCTTAAGTTCAATTATATCTTCATGTCCTTTGGATTTAAATAAAACACTGTTGATCGATGTATATATCTGAAGGTCAGTGGGAGCAAGATCATATTTCTCATTTTGTATGTTGATGATATCTTGTTAGCTACAAATATTATTGACTTATTGTATGAAAGCAAGAATTTTCTCTCAGGGAACTTTGAAATGAAAGATATGAGTGAGACATCCCTTGTGTTTGAAATTGAAATCTTGCATGATAAATCACAATGATTGTTAGGGCTATCTTAGAAAACATATATTGATAGAGTTATTAAGAGATTCAATATGGAAGGGTGCTCTGCAAGTGTTGCACTAATTCAAAAAGGAGATAAATTCCGTATTATACAGTGTTCAAAGAATGATTTGGAACATAAACAAATGGAAGAAATTCTGTATGCATCTATTGTTGGAAGCTTAATATATGCTCAAATTTGTGTCAGACCAGACATTAACTTTGTTGTCTGGATGCTGGGCAAATATCAAAATAATCCAGGAATAGATCATTATAAATTCGTAAAGAAAGTTTTGAGGTACCTGCAAACAACAAAAGACCACATGCTCACTTATAAAAGATCTAATGATCTTAAAGTGATAGAAAATTCAGAATCAGATTTTGCTGGATGTGTTGATACCAAAAAATCAGTATGCATCTATTGTTGGAAGCTTAATATATGCTCAAATTTGTGTCAGACCAGACATTAACTTTGTTGTCTGGATGCTGGGCAAATATCAAAATAATCCAGGAATAGATCATTATAAATTCGTAAAGAAAGTTTTGAGGTACCTGCAAACAACAAAAGACCACATGCTCACTTATAAAAGATCTAATGATCTTAAAGTGATAGAAAATTCAGAATCAGATTTTGCTGGATGTGTTGATACCAAAAAATCAACATTTGACTATCTGTTCCTTTTGACTAAAGAAACAATCTTATGGAAAAGTGCAAAACAGACTATCACTGCCGCATCCAATATGAAAGCTGAATTTGTGGCAAGCTTCGAAGCTACAGTTCAGAACTTATGACTGCAAAATATTATTTCAGAACTTGAAATTGTTGACAGTATTGTCAAGTCACTGAAAAATTACTGTAATAACTCCGCAGCAGTCTTATTTTCTAAAAACAACAATTATTTCAAAGATGCTAAACAAATAGAGTTAAAATACCTTATTGTTAAGGAAAAAGTTCAGAAACATAGGATGTCAATTGAACATATTAGCACCAGTATTATAATTGCAGATCTAATGACGAAAGGATTGCTACTGAAGACATTTAACGAATATGTCATGAGAATGACATTACTTAAATCATTTATTAGTTTATGTTTAGTGCTCTTTATGTTTGACAGTTTGAGAGCATTTTATTATTATTTCTAATGTTTATATATCTTATTTTATCGATAGTGTACACTTTAAATTGTGTGTTAATTAATAAAATTTGTCTTTTAACAAATATTATGGGACCATGAGATTATTTCTCATTATATTAAGTATATGATTGATATTATGATATATGGAAGAGAATGTGTCGATAAATTGATACACAATCGTCTTGATTCATATTAGTTTCATACTTATTAATGATTTATGATTTGACCAATATAAAGAATAATTTTAAAATATATTTTCTGCAGTATGATACGCACTATTAAAAAAAATTCCGTGGACCAAGTGGGAGAATGTTAAATTTTTAATTGTGGCCCACGTTGCCCACAAACCCACTAACGTGGGTCATTTACTTTAATAATAAATGACAGTTAATTAATTATCTTAAAACCTTTTGATAAGTAACCCCTTAGGATGGGGGTTACTAATGTATGTTATTTATTTTAATTAATTTAAATCATTTTTGATATATAACTCTTTTATGAATGATGGTTACCAGTATGTGTTAGTTATTTTAATTAATTAATTAAATCATAAATTATTTTTTATATGTAACATCTTTATGGATAATTGTTATTAGTGTGTGTTATTTATTTTAATTAATTAATTAAATTATTTTAAATTCTTTTTGATTAATAACATCTTATGGATGGTGTTTACTAGTATGTGTCATTTATTTTAATAATAAATGTTAATTAATCAATTATATTATCATAAATCTTATTGGTCAGTAACTCCATGATGGATGGTGAATAAATAATGCATAATTTGAAGAAGAATCGTCTCTCTTCTTAACAGACACCGTATCGTTCTCTCAATTAGAAAGTACAGAAAGTTTAAGAGGATTTGAGAGAGAAACTCCATCTCCTCAGATATAATTCTACAATCATAAATACAAGTATGCTTCTCTTATTTATGGGTATGTAAAAATCATGAATTCAAATATTTTGGTCATTATATGCACGAAGTGTTTGGGTCATAAAATTGGATCACAAATGAAAGTTCTAATAATTTTTTCTTTTCTTCTTTTAAATAAAAAATTAAACTGAAAAAAATATTTTAAGCATAAATTAAAACCCTTCACTTGCTGTCAAGAAAAATTGTCATGGCTACAGAACGAAGCCAAATACAACATCTTCGTCCAGTTCATAAAAAAAAAAATCATTTGAGGCAGAGACTTGAGAAAAATGAAGAGTAGAGAGAGAAGAGATGTATCCGCTAAAAAAGTATATATATTAAAAGAAAAAATACAGAACGAGGAGTGGTAAAATCTAGAAATAGAGAGTTCAGGAAAAGGATGCCGGTTTCTTACAACGAGCTCGACCACATCTAGCGGGGTTCGATTGGCCTTAAGGGCTGCAACGCCATGGCTCAGACATCGGCGAAGTGTCTCCTCTCGCGGCAGCCTTCGCTCTGGCGGGAGCGATAAGGGGATGTCTCCCGCGCCGCCGTGTAGAGCGATCGCCCAGCCCATTCCCTCTCTCTCTCTCTTTCACCGACAAGCCACTCGCTTCAGTTGTTCCTCTGTTGGAAAATGTATGGCAACAATCCAAACCCAACTTTGCGTCAGCATGCCACAGACGCATTATTCGTTTGATGGGACTTGAACCCGTGAAAGAAGATGTGTTCACACGGTTGGATGGGATGTAAACCATGCTCATTTATATTAAATTTATTTATTCAGTTTTATTTGAATAATTGTGTAAACCAATTTTTAAAAATAATGTTTAAATAAATATATTTGAGCAAAAAATTTGATTTATCCAGGTTTATCTAAAAAAAAATAAATTCATGCTTATTCATTCATATTAACGAATATATTTATTTATTGACTTAAAAAATAGTTTGCTGAGAGCTAAATAAAATATTCATTTTAAAATAATTTAATCATTTATGGATAATTTATTCTATGTTCTCTCACATATTTAGGAAAAAGGAAGATTTACATACATGCATTGCAATCCATTTGTATTCATGTATCTAACACAAACTTTAATTTTGTGCATTCATGCCGCCTTATTTATGATGAGAAAAATTGTAATTCACTTTTCAAAAAAATGATAGTGGTATTTTTGAGTATTTAATATGTAAATACGTAAGATTTTTGTGGTTTGTATTTAAAAGCCCCTACAAAAGCATTAGCACTTGATATGTCCTAAAATTATTTTTAAATATTTAAACTTTACAAAGAAACGTAATTAATAGGTATTAAATTATGCTAATTTTAATTAGATCTTAAATTTTTTTCCCCAAAAATTCTTTCTGTCTTTGAACAAGCATATATGTTTAATTTATTTGTTAAACTATATAATTAATTTGGTTTGATGAAAGCATAATTATGATTTTAACTCATTAACAAAACTAATTATAAGGTTGAATAAGATTTAAAATTTGAGTCATATTAAAACTCAACTAAAAAAAAACATAAAGAATGAATTTGATCAAGATGGCACTCAAAGTGATTTAATTCATTTACAACCTTAAAACTTGACGAAAGCTTTAAAAAAGTTATTATATTATAATTAAAATAACAAAAATATTATCATGTTCAATTTGTAGCCTAAAACATATTGATGTATTAACATTAAGACACACACACAGAGAATAGCGTGAGAGATGTAGAATGAAAAAAAAATGCATAGTTTTGGCTAGTTAATTTTGAACAAAAAATTTAACAATGCTTGGTAACTATAATGCACACTTTAGAAATGCAGGAGTAATGTATTTGGATGCAAATAAAATAAATTATATGTTATGTTTTAATTCCAATTCCTCGGACGTGGTGTGTTTAATCTTCACAATAGAGAAACAATGATTATATTTTGCACCTTGTCGGCACAATTTTTAGGGGGGGTCATGTGGAAGCTGTCGGTCGCCGGAATGGAAATCTCGTCGCTCACTTCGGAGGGACATTTAATTTACATATATATATTTTTAGTTTTAAAAAAATATGAAATCTAATCGATCTCATATTTTTCATAGTTTAAATGACAAAACACCATACCTTAAGCTATGTGTCCCTCTCAAAAGATGGACACATGACTTGAGGTGGGGCTCAATCAAATAAACTATGAAATATATGACATCTGTTTGGCCTGCAAAATCATTTTATTATAAGCCGACAAGTTCCCCTATTTAATATGAAAAATTAAATAGAGTTTATATTAAGCTGGGTTCTTGAAAGTTTCCTATAAGGGCAAACCCCTATAGTTAATTACATCTTAGATAACCAGAGTCACCTAAGAAAACTCTCGATAAAAATCTGGGGATATTATATTGAAGAAGTTCAAAGAAATAGGACTTTTCAACGAGATCGGACAGAGAGGTGTGAAATGGAAATGACTCGAATTTGGAACATATTATGGAATCCAAAGAAAGAGAGACTAGGGGATGTCACAGATTTTGAGGAGAACCTCGGTGACTTCCCAAGCTATCTAATTGTTTGGTTTCAATTTAGAGGAGAAATATTTGAATGTTTCATCCTGCCAATTTTACTAATTAGGGCTTACATTCGTATGAAACGATCACACAAATAGCCTGGAAGATGTGAGGATTTAGGTCATGACGAACGAGAACCTCAAAATCCTAAAACAGGTTAGGGCTTATATTATATAGCAGAGTCATACAAAAACCTAAAAGAAAGTTAAGGATTTATGTTGCACTGGGCAGACAACCTCGAAGTCCTATGGCTTGTTGTTTAATTCTACATAATGATTTAGCTAGTGTAGACATGTTTTGCTGTTGAAGATGGTCATGCTGCCCACAATGCTAGCTCTAAGCTTCTCGTCGTAGCGAGTTTAAGTTTTTTAATGTGTCAAGTCAAGATATTAAATCACGTGTTTCCTAAGGTTATGTTTATTTAAATATTATGGGGAATATTAAAGTTGATTAGAGCGACACCAGTTAAAATCCTACGGTTCCCTCATTTCGACACCACTATTTTACTTCGAATTCACTTAGTCCAAATTAATTTACTAAACTCTACTATTTCGACACCACTATTTTACTTCGGATTCACTTAGTCCAAATTAATTTACTAAACTCTACTTAATAAGTTTCATACTTTTCATTTAGACTGTGGGAAATTGAAACATCAAATTAATATACTGTTTTAAATACCTATTTTATGTTTATTTTTGGTGATATTTGATCCCTCTTGATAGTTCTATTATGCAAAGTACAACAATAATTCAGATTATATTTCACTTATATTTATGTACTTTACAATAAACCAAAAACTTGATCCTGAAAAAAAAATAAGAATTTAACTTTAATTTATATATATTGGGATACTAGGCAAATATACGTATCATTATCAAGTAATACAATACTTTTTGATTAAGACTTGAATATCAAACCTACAAGGAATTTATACAATATGCATTTTTAGAAAACTTTCTATTTTTAAAAAGACAATTACTTAAACTGAATATATTTTAGAGTAATAAAAATTCAAATATTTTTGGTATTTTTGATATTTTGACAAAATAGTAACAGCTTAAAAAGATAACTAGAGTTTTGTAAAAAAAAAGAACTTAATAAGAAAAATATCTTTCTTTTTATCATGAATCAGTAATAAGTATAGAAATTATGTTGTGAAAGTATGCAAATTGTGTTGTGCCAAATAGGAGCAATAATATTATTTACTCCTACTAGAGTTGCTATAAAAAAATATTGGCTAATTTAAAGTTTGAATAGTTCTAAAGACCGGCTAGGTAGGGAAGATACTAGCTCTCACTCTAATGTTCCCTCAATTCCCTCCACTTGAGGGCTAACATCTTATATCAGAACTTAAAATAATAAACCAAGTTGGGGACCTTAACATGTCACTTTAAAGTCCTCTAACTCTACACCCTTCGATGAATATTTCCTTATTTATTTGCACTCAATCATATGAACTACATTCTCATTCATACAACCTCATGTGATTCTTTCTAATTGTTGACCTCATGTGATTCTTTCCAATTATTGAAACCAACTCGGTTCTTTCATGTTCTTACAACAAATTTTAACATCTAGATTGACCAAATCAAGAAGTAAATGAAGTGCATGGATTTAAATCATCACAACTTCTTCCACATTGAATTTCAATACTTTCCACAACTTTCATCCAAAACTTAATTACTTATCATTTTAAGAAGAAAGATAAAAAAAATACTTAGAATCCATGGAGAAAACAAAATTATACTCTATTTTAAAAGAAGAAATCATTCTCAAACCAACAACAAGTCTCAATTAAAACCAAAAGTAGTCTTAAAATAAAAAGATAAAAACTTATCTCAAGTCCTCCACCAAACTCTTAAAGTTCCTTTGATTCTCTTCTCTTTACAATTCAAAATGAACTAAAAAAAAGGATAAAATAAAAGTAAAAGTTGTGCTTAAAAATCTCTCCGAACTACTTCCCCAAATGAGAACTTTCAAAACTTTCCAATACTTTCAAGACCACTTTCACAGTTACAATCATCTTTCTTTTATAATTTTCCAAAAGGTGCCTTGGTTTCTCTTAAAAATATGTCTAGATTCAATGCATTTCCCCAAGAGATACATCCTTTTGTGATAATTTTCATCCATGTTGGTTATAACCACATATTAAGCCAATGGGTGCCTAAAAAACCTCTTTAAAATTCACAAAAATCGACTTTACTCATCTAGTAACTGCCATTGACACTTAAGCGCGGGACCTCTGACGCTTAGACGCAACCTTCTCTGTTTAACCAGCGCTTAAACACCGGATCTAGCGCATAGGCGCCAAATCTCATTTACATATTTTTTACCTTTTTGCTCCAAATTTGATCCTTTTTTCACTCGTTTTAGCATTTTTCACCCTTTTACCTATATCTGCAAGAAAAACACAAAAATATCTTCCATTAAAGCGCAATATCTCAAAAATATGTATTAAAATGTGTCTAAAAATACTATATATTTTAGGTGTATCAAAATCCCCCAACAAAAACTAAATATGTATGATATGTATATGTGTTTCTTTAGGAGTTACTAAAAATCATATTTAGAAATATAGCAGTCTAATTTAGAAAAAAATATTCAGTAAATGAGACCAACTTAAAGTTTAGAAATTCTTAAAGTTAAGAAAGATGAAAATATGAGTTTCTATCTAATTCAGAAATATAATGTAGATTTTCCAAAGTTAAAATTTAGTTCTTTTATTATATCCACTTAAAAACTTTCATTAAAAATAATTTTGCTTACTATATTATTTCTGTAAGCTTAAGAGTTTCTCAAGTCTTATACTTTAAAAAGATCAAATGTAGAACCAATTTTTGATTAGGCACTAACCTCAAGCTTCTCCTTCTAAAGATGCGTGGAATTTCTCTTCATAATCACTCTTGCTTCTATTATAACTATTAGTATGATCTGCAAAGCGCTTTAAATTTTGTACCTTATCAGCAGTAAAATTGATATTATCCATCATCTTATGCAACAACTCATACCGAGTTTTAGTAGACTCACCTCTAGATGTAGAAGCACGTGAAGTAGATGGTCTAGATGAAGAAGCAGCAGAGGTAGATGCAGTAGACATTTCCATTCCATAACTCCTGGAAAACTCCTGGAAAATCCTCCTCTCCA